ACGATGAACTGAGAGTTCATCGGAGAATCTATGACGAAACCTGAGTTTGGTGATGTGTACGGTGAAATCTGTCCGACCGATCCTTCTCGACAGACCCAACACTGGCTGCAACTACTCCAACGACCGCTTATCCTATAACACTGGCGGCTGCCTCAAGTGCAACGACCTCGGCGGCGCCACCCTTGCCCATTTTAGCTTCCACCATGGCCACATGTAATACCCCTAATTTTAAAAAGGATATTCCTGGTATTTAATGGTATTTAATTTATTATTTAAGTGCATTTTATTTGATTATGTGTCATTATTTTTTTTATTAGGTGCTTAATTGTTTTCTTTTGTGGTGATTTAATTTATTTAAATGATATTTATTTTTAGTTATTTGATTGGAATTACTTGTTAGTGTTTTAATTATTTAATTGGCCTTAATGGTTTAAGTGTAATTGGTTTAGTTATTTGATTGGAATTACTTGTTAGTGTTTTAATTATTTAATTGGCATTAATGGTTTAAGTGTAATTGGTTTAATTATTCTATGTGTGTCTTATTTAGTTTAATTGGGTTTACTAATTATTATTTTGTTCAATTAGATTATTTGTTAAGTATTTAATGGTGAATAGGGTAATTAGGTAAATACATCTAACTAGGGTTTTAATTACAGTATAAATTATGGTTTTATATTATAGCCGTCGTAGGTTTTTACGTTAATTGGATGGGCCGGTTAGGATTGTGAGTTGGACTTAAATGAACCTAGGGTTTAGGAAAACTCTATAAGTATAAGGTAGACGTTTGTGTAGGGTTTTTTTTTAAACAAAGCACACGTTTTGTGGAAGTGGAGAAGGAAAAACGCAATTTTTCACATTCTGCCAAGGTTTGATCCAAGCTCCGATCCCGCTTCGTCCGTGGTTCGATCGAGCTGAATTTTGGAGGAGAGGTTCACGACTCAGTGTCGCACAATCTGAACGGTGAAGATCAGAGTTTAACCTCGGGAACAGTGATTCGTACTCTTGAACAGTAATTGGGTCGCACAGGTTTTTTTCCATTCTGCCCAGATTTCATTAACATCTAATCCCGCTTCATCCGTGGTCCGATCGAGCTAAAATTTGGAGGATAGGTTCACGACTCAGTGATGCACAATCTGAACGGTGGAGATCAGAGTTTGACCTCGGGAACAGTGATTCATACTCGTGAACAGTAACTGGGTCGCACAGGTTTTTTTCCATTCTGCCCAGATTTCATCAAACATCCGATTCTGCTTCGTCCGTGGTCCGATCGAGCTGAAATTTGGAGGATAGGTTCATGACTCAGTGTCGCACAATCTGAACGGGGAGATCAGAGTTTGACCTCGGGAACAGTGATTCGTACTCGTGAACAGTAACTGGGTCGCACAGGTTTTTTTCCATTCTGCCCAGATTTCATCAAACATCCGATCCTGATTCGTCCGTGGTTCGATCGAGCTGAAATTTGGAGGATAGGTTCATGACTCAGTGTCGCACAATCTGAACGGTGGAGATTAGATTTTGAGTTTAGGAATAGTGTTTCGTACCTGTGAACAGCAACCAGGTTTTGGAACTCGCTGGGATTTTTTAAGAAGACGACGTTGAAACTTTGAACAAAAGTTTCTGAGGCAAGATTCTATCCTTACTCTTTCCCTTAGGCTTCATACTCTTTGCACTCTTAAATGGTTCCAGGATTAATGAAGATTAAACCAAACTAAAATGATATCTGTTTTGCTATGAAACTGGTAGTTATAGTAGTGTTGTATGCTTGTTCAACCTAGACTAAGCATGTTTGTGGATGCATTGTGGTTCTGTGGTTCACGTTTTTCCTTACCACTGCTAGTATAAATTATTGGAAGGATGGGTCTAGATGATAGCTATCTTAACTTCTGTAATAGCAACTGTTGGAACTTAAATACTAGGAGGATTTGAGTTTAACACTAGATCGGTTTTGTGAAACACTATAATTTGAGCATGTCTACATACATACTGTGAATATTGTTTTGATGGTTACATTATCACAGTTAGTATCAACTGTGGAGGTTAGGATTTTGTGATACATACCCTACATATCTGTATGTTATTTGTAAGGTGTTAAATGGAAGTTTTAATTAATTCTGTCTTTATATCAGACTAAAGGGAACAACTTAAATTGGGCATGTATATGTTGTTGTTGTGACCCTATTTATCAATGCTTATTTTATCACTGCTAACATTGAATGTTGGATGTTGGAATTTAGTTGATATATACTTGATTTATTGGTATTATTGACTACTGGAGGATTGGAAAGTAGGCACCGGTATGAGACGGTGGCATACTAAGGATGGGTTTGGTTTTTAAAACAATACCATTACCCACCTACTTGGAATAAGGATGGGATTAACTAAAAGTTAAGTCCCGTGGATTTGTATTGTCATGGCAACTACTTGTTGAGCGGCAATATCAGGGATTTTGGATGGATTTTATATATGTACTATTATGGTGCCTCGGTATGAGCTTGAGCCTCAGGACCGATGGCTAGGAAGTGTATATGCATCGGGATGTGTAGCTGGCTACGATGGTTGGAGGTGTACCCTGTTTAGGTATAGGTACATATGCCCACTTCGTGTGCGTTTTAGCATGTTACCTCTATTCAGGTTGAGACCGGCCTGTAGTCCAGTGAGAGTCCTTTAGTGTGACTATATATATATTTACGGACTATTAGCTATTGTTGAATTGTTTAGGATGTACATGCGTATCGAGCCTCTGTTTGGATTGTAGTAATATAGAACTTGCGCGTGGGCCTGACCCACTTCTATTTTTTAGGTACACGACAGTTCCAGGCTTAGACGTGTTCGTGCTGAGCAGAGATCTCTATTCACTCTTCCGACGATGTAGGGCTCTCTCTATAGTTTTAATTCTGGACGTTTATTACAGTTGTTCTATCTTTCGTTTGGATGTTTAATAGGGGTCCACTAGAGATGGATTCCCAAGTTATAAACTGATGGAGTTTTGGAGTTTGGGTTTGATGGATTTTAATAATTATAATATTTTGCGGATTCTATTTTTAGTTCCTTCCAGCTTTAATTTTATTTCTTAATTTATTTTGTATTCCGTGTTCATTATAAAATATTAATTGTTTGATATTCCCTTGGGTTTGGGCCTGGGCCTAATCAACCCGTGTCTCGGATCCGAGGGGTATCACACCACATCGACCTTTCATCATATAAATTTGACAAACATATAAACAAATCAGAGAAGGCGAAGCATGACATGGTAATCTGTCGGTGACTTGTAAATTCTGGTCAATGCTGAGGGTAGATTGGTTCAATTTATTAAGTTGTAAAAGTTAAAAAGATCCACTAAAACGGTCAAAAGGCAATTTGATCAAATTTCCATGGCAGGTGGCTACATGAGGTGTTTTTGTCAACTTTTTAACCTTAAGGGGGTGTTATTGTCCAAAAAAATAAGAAACTTGTATATATTTGTTCTTATGGCAAATCTGAAGAGACGTCTTGGTACTTTACCCTATTATTTATTTAAAATTTCACATTATTTTATTTTTAGAAAATAACCACAAATATTAATTGGGGACAAAATTATGCACGGTTATTAATTCATTTGATATAAATAAAAATAATTTAAGAATATAATAATATTCTTTTTATAACTTTCATAATATTCAAACTATGAAGGGAAAATCTTGTACTAGTTTTTCATTCTAACTAGTTAAATCCTAATTTTTATTACTTTTTGCTTTTGAACTCATCTAAGCCAAAGAATTAAATTTATATTTTTTCTTCTAAAAGTTAGAATTAAATTAATCTTGATAACCCTAATTAAAAATATAAACTGGACATAGATCTCATCTGGTGGACATGAACTTATCCAAATCAGGGCACAATTGTCTTTTGGACGCAAACTTATCCAAATCAGTGACAACCAATCACTGCCACTTGGCGAGAAATATGAAAAGTCTCATTGGCCAGAGTTGGAGGTGGGCCTAACTGTCCATCTATGTATAAATTAATTACAAATCAACTTAATTAATTAAGGAAATAATATATAAATTTATATGTATAATTATGTATATCTAAATTATTACTCCATCCTTCTCAAATTAAATGTCCAAAAAATAAATGTCCCTTTTCGTGAATCTAACTTTTTAGTTTTTTTAAGTGGATGAGTTTTAATATATATGTTTTTATTATAAAGTGAGTGAATTATCAATGTGAATTATCAAATACTCCCTAAATCCCATAAAGACGATTGCTTTTAGGTAGTAATTTTTTTTAAATGGATATGTAAGACATCCATTGTCTTTCTTGAATATTCAAATTTGAAAATTTAAATTCCAAGAATATATATATAAAGATATGAAATATATTGTTAGAAAAAGGAAAGGTAATAATTATTTTTGGACAACTAAAAAAAGCAAGCATGACACTTTTTTATTTATTTTTGATTGAGGGAGCATGTCTATACAAATTAAATGTAAGAAGGTTAAATTAGTAATATTATGAAAAAAATATTTTTACTTTTTTAAGGAGATATTTATTTTGAAATAGTCAAAAATAGAAATGTGGACATTTAATTAGAGAGGAAGTGAATATTTAGAATGAAACAAATAGTCCTTAGAGCTTGATCGAGTTGGTAAGGTAACGACCTAGGAATGTTCATGTCCCATGTTTGAACCCGTCCATTGCCAATATAATCCTCGACTGAAATTGTTGTTGAGGTGTAAGGTCGTCGATAGTATCCCCGAACTGAAATTGTTGTTGAGGTGTAAAGTCGTCGACAACATTCCCGATTTGTAGCTTGGGGTGGGTCTCGAAGGGGCCGGTGTAAAAAAAAAAAAAAAAAAAATTGCAAAAAAAAAAATATAAATATGTAATGCGGGGGTTAGGGAAAAAATGAAAGACAAGAAGAATGAAATGAATTGATAGTAACAACGCCGTTAAACATACTGGATATAAAATATTACGAGTATTATACAACGAAAGCGAGAAACCGTACATAATATTTAGAGAGAGAGAGAGAGAGAGAGAGAGCGAGACGAATGAAAACCTCCTCGGATAGCACTAGTGCCGCTGCTTTTTGTCTATTTTAGTATATACAAAATATATATATATATATATATATATATATATATATATATATATGTCTGTATGTATCTATAGCTGTATACATATTCTAGTTTAAGCTTTCTCAAATCTGCATCTCCGTATAAAATCCTACCCTGCTATGGAGTAATTCACTTCACGTAGAGAGCAACAAATCGTAGTCTTTTCGTGTTTGGATCTGGAAGAGCCGAATTTTCTTGCGAATTTTCTGTCACTTTCTTTTTGTCTTTTTTATTCTGTTGTTTGATTCAATGGTGATGGAAGATACCGAGAGCTGTAGTAGCCGAGTGATGGAATCGTCGTCGCCAGTAAATGCGCGGCAACTGAGGAAAAAGCTTGAGGTGTACAATGAAGTTCTTCGTAGGCTTAAGGAATCGAATAGCGAAGAAGCTGAAGAGCGTGGTTTTGAAGATGAACTTTGGGCTCACTTCAATCGACTTCCCACTCGGTACCTTCAACTTTTCTCTTCCTAATCTTTTCTGCTATGCACACACATACATCTTTTTGCTCATATCTATATATATATATATATATATATATAATCTGTATTATTTATTTTGAGTGACGTTATGAGTCATAATGTTTTTGTTTTTTTGAAATTAAAATCTTTAATCTTTTCTTGGTTGAGTAGTTTTTGGATTTTCTGGTGTTAAAAGTGTAACTTTTTTTTGATTTTTTTTTTTTAATTGTCCATTGCTTGATTCTGCTTTTGTTTTTGTTCATTAATGTCGAAGTTGGTTTAGAATTTTGAGGCATTTGGGTTGAGACAGAACAATATCAAAATTCATTAGTCCTTTTAGCTATTGTCTGTGCTTTCATTTGAAACAAGAGTAGTTGCATGTCATTTTTTTGATGCTTTCTCTCATGGAATATGTGGGTTCTTGTGGATCATTGCTAAATTTGCAATTGATTGACTAATTGTGTTGAGGGGTCTAATCTTTTGCATTGCAGGTATGCACTAGATGTGAATGTGGAGAGGGCAGAAGATGTTCTCATGCATAAAAGATTATTGCATCTGGCGCATGATCCTGATAATAGACCTGTATTCGAAGTTCGCCTAGTGCAGGTAAGTTTGATTAGATCAGCACTGTGATTGCAAGGATTCGTTGTCCATTATATATCTTGATTTCCCAAAAATCCTTGTGGAGTTGTTAGTAGGAGTACCTTGGTTGCTTGGTTTGTTGCCTGCGTGCAGTTGGGGTTCAAGGTGTCGTTCATACAATAGTGCAAAATTATCTGAGCGGGTTGCATATTATAAAAATGTTACTTGTGAATGGATTGCCTACTGAAAATTGCAAATTGCCAAATGGTACATTGGGTACCCCCAATTGTATTCAATACTGTGGCAAATAGAGTTAAAAAACTTGACAAAACAGTCTTAACTAACCCTAACTTCCCAGGTATTGCAAGGTATACATTGTCACGAATACATGAAAATCTATTGAACCCAATTGTATTCAATGCTGTGGCAAATAGAGTTAAAAAACTTGACAAAACAGTCTTAATTAAACCTAACTTCCCAGGTATTGCAAGGTATACATTGTCACGAATACATGAAAATCTATTGAAATTTGCCAGATGGTGTATGTTTTAGTTAGACATGGAAGCAGGCTCCTGATGATATTGCACATCTTTTCTAAAACATGAGAACTAATAATGACACAATGTTCCATGCACTTTGTGTCCATAAAATCTATAATCAGGTATTTTGAAATCTTTAGTCTTTTCTAGTGTCATATATTATTTAACTAAATTCAACTATTGTCCTGGTAGTTCTGTAAAAGGACCAAATTGCATGCCTCTAATAAATTATGCCTTAGAGTCTTGGATTTGAATCCTGGGTTGATGTGTCCAATTTATGAAAACGGAGATTTACTTTTGGTTTAGTAGGTCTACACTTCATTGCTTGGTGAAATACACATTTCCAATCGATCTCATGCGCAGGTTCCTCCTGTATCTGATGGTAATACGGCAGATTCTGTCCATTCAAGCTCTTCAAGGAATGAAGTTGCCCAAAGGTCTGATTTTTAAGTAATTAATATACTATGACATTTTCTTTTTTGCTGATCGTAGTTGCTATATTACATGTAAGCTGCCTTTGAATGGAACTGATTTAATAATTTTTGCTTTATTTCTCTTGTTTAGTCCACTATTACTTTTGATATTTTATTTTCACTGATTACACTGACATCAATACCTCCCTTCTCAACATGTCAGCATCCATCCACCACCTGCCTTTGGTTCATCTCCTAACCTCGAAGCCCTTGCACTTGAAACAAACAAATCTCAAGATCAAGATTGGGACAGTGCTGTACATGCCCATTCACGGTTCTTCCGGTAAGTAGTACTGGGACTTCCTCATGGTCTTAACTTTACCCTTAGTTGTTCTTATTGTTATAGCACCTTTCAAATGTTACCTGAGAAGTTGAAAGCATGTGCAGGTGCATTTCTGTAAAATTATCAAAGATGCTTTGGTATTATCATTTCGCCGTTTCCCTTCATTGTTATTATTTTTCAATCACTTGTTTTGCCTGTTACTGTATCTTGAAGAAGGTGAATAAAAAACCTCTTTTTGAATGTGATTGACAAGGAGGAATGCAGCTGTCCATCACTTATTGTTATAGCATATTTCTATTGTTTTACCTCATATCCTTTCTATGTAACAGCCTGACATTTCCTATTTGAAGAAGCTCCCTCTCCTTCTTTGTGAGCATTACATTCTAGAATTTGCTTCGGTACCCAATTTTGCCCTGGACAATTTTGACATAATGCTCTTACTTTGTAATGAGGTTAAACACATGTTTCAATTGGTTGCTACTTTTTAGTAGAAACCACACAACATAATGTGTACTCATAAGCACATAGAAAATAACATGTAAAATAAATGAAAGTGCATACTTCATCAATGGATGGGTGGAGGATATCAGTGCTGAGGAAAGAGGGATCATTTTGTATGATTATGAAGCTAGTTGGAAAATTTTCAAAGTAGAAGATCGATGATGCAAGTGGGTGTAAAAGTTTCAACTAGGGAAAGCAAAAAAGCAAACTACAATCAAGTGCATAAAACATTATATTTAAATAGAATATTTTCAGCAATGCTGAATTTAAAGTCATTCTACAAAATTTCAAATTTAGATGCAATTACTTTTGGATGATGATAATATGTGTATTTTCTGCCAAAAGAAGAAGGAAAATGGAGCTATTTCTTTATTGAAGGAAGAAAAAGAGAAAAACAAGTGGTAAGCCAAAAAATGTATAAGAAACACAGAAGCTAAGTTTCTCTCCATAATCCTTCTACCTCTAATACCTTAAAAACTTTGGGATTAAGCATGCTTAGGTGATTGGTCACATTAGATTAAACCAATTGGTTAGTACCTTTATCACAGTTGTGCGATAAAACCATAGAAATTTAGTTGGAATTTTGAATTGACTTTCCTCCAATTCCAAATCCAAGGCACCGATTTGGTGCTCCCAAACATTGCAATAATGAATTTCTTTTGGGCTCTATTGGAAATGGGCCTTTTCAATTCTTTTTGAGTTGTAATCAAGGGGATATGCCCCCTTCTCTATATTTGTACTTCTATTCTTATTTTTAATGAAACCATCCCATTTAGGGACAAAAACCATATAATATATTCATATGCATACTACTTATCTACATACCCATATTTAATGTTTTTTTTATCGTGTCTTAAGATTTGAGATTTGTGGAGGTTCGACACTTGGACACACATTTAAGGCTCCTCATGTAAGGTTATTGAAGGTAAGAGAGTAGACGTAGATAGTTTGGACACATACATCGGAGACGTAGAGACACACCAATCAAACGGGGAAGACTAGTTGTCATAGAATGTAAGAGACGGAGAGGGCGACCAAAAATAACATGGGATGAGGTTTTTGAAAATGATTTAAAAAAATTAAATATAGTAGGCAAAATGGCACGTAATAGAAAGGATTGGAGAAAGAGAATTCATGTGGCCGACCCCATTCATATGGGATTACGACAATGATGATGATATGATGATGTAAGGTTATTTCAGAAAAGTAAAAAGAACAGTTTAGTTCCCTGAAAATTCTGCACGGCACCCAATAGTTCTCCCTTTTTCCCTAAATGATATATTTTTACTAAGGAAGCCACTGACAATCTGATTTAAGTAGTTAATGATATTCAGTTTTGGGCTCGTGTACATTAAATCATCTCAATACTCTTAACTAATCTCAATAGAGCCTTATCCTTCTTATCTATTAATTTATAGTTTTTGTTTTTTCGCGAGTACTATTACATAAGTTTTAACAAATTTGTAATGAAGGAACTTATAGTTTTCATGTATTTGTTGATTATGCAGGCCAATGCATGAGATCACCTTTTCAACAGATGACAAACCAAAGCTTCTCAGTCAGGTAGTTGATGTGTTTGTTTATTATAGCACACCAAGTATACCTTCTTATGATTTTGTTGTTGCTATATTACTTATACGAACTGAGGATATAGTTGGTTTGTTCTACTTGCGTCCTTTAATTGGTGGATGATAATGAGATATATAAAACTTATGTTTGCAGTCAAATTTGAGAATTTTCTACCTCAACTTTTATCCAAGAGGTTTTTATGGTTACAATCTATAAGAAGCACGGACACGGATACGACATGACACGGACACGGCGACACGGCAAATCCAAAAAAATTAGGACACGAACACAACAGGGACACGGCTAATAGTATATATATATATATATATATATATATATATATATATGATGTAGTACTTTAAAATTTACTGAGTGTTATTATTTTTTATCAGCCTCATAATGAAAAAAATACACAAATCATAACTCATCTATTGTAATAGTTTAATGACTGGCCCTTAAATATCTATTTGTTTTGTCTAAAATTGCATATTAACCTTACAAGTTTAAAATTATTATGTACTTATCACATAAGTGAGTAAAAGTTGTTAAATAACTTCACATATTTATACTTTAACCCAATTTTCTTTCAAAAATTATCTTTTAGACCCTTGAAAATAAGACTCGCGTGTCGGACACACACCCCTTGCATGTCGGACACGTGTCCGCTGAGTGTCCGTGCCGTGTCCGAAAATTAAAAAAAATAAAAAATTCTAGACACGTTTTTTGGTGTGTCTGACGCGTGTCGGTGCCCGACACGTGTCAGTGTCAGACACGGATTCTTCGCCCATTTTGGCGTGTCCGTGCTTCCCAGGTTACAATTAGGTTAAAAAGACTTTAGCCCAAGAATCGCTTAGTTACCTCTTGACTATGATTCACACTGCTCATTCTCCTCGAACTCAGCTGCTTCTAGTTAATGAATCCGCTCTCATGTGATTAGCTCCTCCTTTATAACATTAATCTCCATCACTGGTATCGTCTGGTGGTGTTGATATCCTTTGAACTCTTGGATTGTTAAAAATACAACACTCAAAACATGATCACCATCTTAGATGTACGATCACCATCTAAGATATACGATGATGAACTCACTATGCTTCTTTATGCTTGCAAATCTTCTTCCTCTAATTTTTTTATATCATAAGGTGTTTATATAGAGTATAGAATCATAAAAGGACTAGGGTTAAGAGAGTTCCAATCCTATTTGGAAACTCAATTACGTAGGTTTCGCTTGGTCGAACTCAATTTCGATCGATTGCAATTACTCTAGTGGCTTTTGGTTGATCCCTTGATTGATAAAAAATGCAGTGTCCCGAATATTATAAGATTTCGAAAATAGTAACTTCATAGCACACTTCTATGCCTTAGAAAAGAACATAAAATCCTCGAGAATATCCCAAAATCATTAAATGGAGTATTAATGGAGTTTTAAAAGTTTATGGGACTCATGAATTTTTGGGATTTAATTATTTATTAGCATTGCATGTTTTTTATAAAATCCAATAAATCCCTGCCTTGATGGATTCAGTTCCTATTTTTTCAAAAAGCATGGAGTATTGTTGGTATCCTCCCCAGCAGATGTTCTGTGTGGGTGACAGTGTCCCTAGGCCCATGGAGAGGATCGATGCCAGTTACACCCCGCATCCCTTGCACCATGACCATGTCTGTGACTTAATTCCTTGCTCCTTGGTTAATTTGATACAATTTCTGATGAGGATAGGGTGGGGTTGGAGAGGCCTTTTGGGGAGGAGCAAGTGTTGGAAGCTCTAAGGAGTTGTGATGGAGATAAAGTGCCGGGGTCGGATGGGTTCACAATGGCATTTTTCCAAAAGAATTGGGAGGTGGTGAGAGCGGATGTGATGAGAGTATTGCATGCTTTTCTTTGAGGAAGGTTGTTTTGAGGAGAGTATGAATGCTTCTTTCATTACTCTCATACCTAAAAAGGGTGGAGCGGTTGAAGCTAAGGATTTCAGACCAATTAGTTTGGTGGGCTCTGTTTATAAGATTATTGCGAAGATCCTGACTATTAGGCTAAGGAAAGTTTTGGATGGGGTCATTTCGAAGTCACAGAATGCGTTTGTTGGAGGAAGGCAGATTCTTGACCCGGTTCTTATTGCTAGTGAATGTATTGATGCTAGAGTCAAGAGTGGGGAGCCGGGGATTGTGTGTAAATTGGATATTGAGAAAGCCTACGACCATGTGAATTGGGTGTTCTTATTGTATTTGTTGGAGAGGATGGGGTTTAGAGCTAAATGGGGAGGGTGGATACACCAATGTATTTCGTCAGCTCGTTTTTTTATCTTAGTGAAGGGGTCACTAGTAGGTTTTTTCGCAAAGTTAGAGAGGTTTATGCCAGGGGGACCCGTTGTCCCCTTTTCTGTTCATTATTGTAATGGAAGCTTTGAGCAGACTCATGAAAAGGGTAGAGGTTCTAGGCTTTATCTAAGGTTTTTCGGTGGGGCGTGCGCCAAACCAGATTGTTACATCTCACTTGCTGTTTGCTAATGATACTATTGTTTATTGTGATGCGAGTGTGAATTAGTTAAGGCATATGAGGTGTGTTTTGGCCTGTTTTCAAGTTGTTTCGGGGCTGAAAATTAATATTGGCAAGAGTGTGATTGTTCCAGTGGGGGGAGGTGGGAAATATTCATGAGTTGGCAGCTATTTTGGGGTGCGGAGTGGAGTCTTTTCCATTCTCGTATCTGGGGCTGCCATTGGGATCGTCTACGAGGAGAATTGTTGTCTGGGATCCGGTGGTGGAAAGGTTTCAAAAGAGGTTATCCGGGTGGAAGAAGCAATATTTGTCGAAAGGGGGTAAACTCCAATTGTTGAAGGGTACTCTCTCTAATCTTCCTACATATTTCATGGCTTTGTTTCCGTTTCCGAGAACAGTGGTTAGTAGGTTGAACAAGATTCAGGGGAACTTTCTGTGGGGGGGAGTAGGGGAGGAGGTTAAGTACCATCTGGTGAAATGGGAGAAAGTTTGCATCCCTATGAAAAAAGGAGGGTTGGGAATTTGAAGGTTGGATATGTTTAATAAAGCTTTGTTAGGGAAATGGTTATAGAGATTTGGGTGTGAAAGGTCTGTGCTCTGGAGGCGTATTATTGCTTGTCGTTTTGGGGAAGAGGAGGGAGGTTGGATGTCTAGAGGTGTGTCTTTTTCAGCTGGTGTGGGTTCTTGGAAAGGAATTAGGCGAGGTTGGGATAAGTTTTCTAAGCGAATACGGTTTAGAGTTAGGAATGGGCAGCATGTGAGGTTTTGGAAGGATGTATGTTGTGGGGATGTGGTGTTGGCTCGTAGGTTCCCTCGGTTGTTCAGGATCGTTGAGGATAAGTTTGTTGTGGTTGCAGATTTTTTTCGGTTAGAGAATGGGAGAGCTAGTTGGGATGTGCGCTTTCGTAGAAACTTGAATGATTGGGAGTTACTGGAATTTATAGATTTAATGGGATTAATATATAGTCAAGGGGTGGAGGGGGAAAGAAGGGATGAGATGGTGTGGATGGGGGATTCTAGAGGGGTGTTTGAGGTCAGGTTGTTTTACCAAAGTCTTATGGATTCGTTAAGTAATGGGTTTCCTTGGAAGGCTGTATAGAGGACGTTAGCTCCACTGAAGGTGGCATTTTTCACATGGACAACGGCTCTTGGTAGAATTCTTACTATCGATAATCTTAGTGTGGGGATTTGGTGTTGGCTCGTAGGTTCCCTAAGTTTGCTATGGTTGCAGGTTATTTTCGGTTAGAGAATGGGAGAGCTAGTTGGGATGTGCGCTTTCGTAGAAACTTGAATGATTGGGAGTTGCTGGAATTTATAGATTTAATGGGATTAATATAGTCAAGGGGTGGAGGGGGAAGGAAGGGATGAGATGGTGTGAATGGGGGGTTCTAGAGGGGTGTTTGAGGTTAGGTTGTTTTACCAAAGTCTTATGGATTCATTAAGTAATGGGTTTCCTTGGAAGGCTGTATGGAGGACGTCAGCTCCACTGAAGGTGGCGTTTTTCACATGGACAGCGGCTCTTGGTAGAATTCTTACTATTGATAATCTTAGAAGAAGAGGTCGAATAACAGTGAATTGGTGTTGCATGTGTAAGATGACGGGCGAATCGGTTAACCATCTCTTGTTGCATTGCAAAGTGGCAGCAGATGTTTGGAGTATGGTTCTGAATGTGTTTGGTGTTGAGTGGGTGGTGTCAAGGAACACGGTGGATATGTTAGAGGCTTGGAGAGGGAGATCAATGGGTAGTCGGGTTAGGAAAGCTTGGAGGGTTGCACCTCTTTGTGTTTTGGGTGTTGGGGGGGGGGGGGGGGGGCTGTGGCTAGAGCGGAACAGGAGATCTTTCGAGGGAAAGGAGGTGTTGACGTGGGTTCTTAAGTCGTATGTTTTGCATTCGCTTTTTTCTTGGGTTAATGGGAGGAATTGTCCATCTGTGGACAGTTTGTTGGATTTTGTTGACAACTTATTGTTGTAATGGCGCTTTATGCGTCTTTTGTTAGTTTTATTAAGTGTTCGCTCCCCTTTGAGCGTTTTTGTTAATATATATTTACTTATCAAAAAAAAAAAAAAAAAAAAAAAACAATCCTTGCTCCTTGGTTAATTTGCTTTCATGATATAAAGACGTTTTCCGTTAAAAAAAAATATGTTTTTTGAAACTAGAATATGGTTTATATGATGAATGCAGTACAACTGTATAACAAACATGAATGTGAATCTTAATTTGGTGAGTGCATAATTTAGAGTTGCATTCGTCTTTTTGCCCTTTCTTGAAGCTTTGAATTTACTAATATGCCTGTTGCCCAAGTATAGACTCTAGAGGGAGGGGGGGGGGGGGGGGGGTACTAAGCCCTTATGCAATTATCAAGACATGAACATGAGCAATTAATAACATAAATGTAAAGGAGATAAGGGAAGAGAGATTGCAAACATTCACACGACGATTTTAGCGAGGTTCGGAAACTCCTACTCCCTTGAGACTTCCCAATCCACTAGTGCACCTCCTTAC